CATTCTTCTAGGGTGTGAAGAAGGGAGATTGAGTTCATTTGCTATTGGCCATTGGTTTAATCAATCATGCCTATGTAATAAGGCCACCATAAAAATGCTTGAACTACGAAATTCAGAAAGCCTCCAGACAGGTGACTGGACTGAGGTGTCTGGAGGGTGACGTGCCTGGAGAGGGCAGGGAAGCTCCCCTTTCCCACACACTCACCTCTTTACCTCTTCATCTGGCTGTTCATTAGCATCTTCTGTAATAAAGTATAGTGCTTACCTGAGGTCTGAGTTGTTCTAGTGAATTATCAAACCTGAGGTGAGGGGTTGTGGGAATCCCCAAGTTTGTAGGTAGCTGGGCAGATGTGCAGGTAACCTGGGACCCCACGATGTCTCTGATATTGGTGCCACCTCCACCACCATCACCATCATTACTCTTAGCTGAACCTATAAAACTGCCTTTTTTTGTAGGTCAGAAACAGTTGTGTACCAGCAGGTTCCTATGATTCAACCTAATGCAATCTCTTCAACATTGACAATTCTTAGGAGGCACCATACCATGGGCTTTATGTGTGTCCTCTCGTTCCTTCCCTCAGAATACTCGAGACGGCAACTGCTATTATTCCCCATTTACCCATGAGCAAAGGAAGCTTACGGAGGTTTAAAAAAAAAGGCACAGGCCACATGGAAAGGGAAGGGCAGAGCCAGATGGGAGCTTAGGCAATAGACTGCATACCCTCAGTATGTTGGTTTCCTGGAGCTGCCTTAGCCAAGTGTCACAAACTAGGTGGCTAAAACAACAGAAATCTATTCTCTCACAGTTCCAGAGGCTAGAAATCCAAAATCAAGGTGTCCACAGGGTTGATTCCTTTTCAGAGGCACTGAGGGAGAGTCTGCTCTGCCTCTTCCCACTGCTATCTCTGCAGGCTCTCATTGGCTTATAAACTGCATCAGGTCTCTGCTTTCTATCACATGGTTCCCTCCCGATGTCTCTCTTCTGACGCCACCGTGCTCTTCACGCTGATCCAGGGTGATCTCATTCTGAAGGCATCTGCAAAGACCCTATTTACAAACATGGTCACATTTACAGGAACTGGGGCTTAGGACTTGGCATTATCTTTTTGGAGGACACATTTCAATCCTCAACACTGAGCCCTTAAATGGGGATTTTCTGGGGTAGGACACTGTGGGCCTGTGTCTGGGCCAGGTCCCCACCTGCCCCTTGGCCTCCTGACCACACAGGCCTTACACAGAGCCAAGGTGGCCGGGGTGACAGCACCTGGGGCAGAGGGCCAGGAGGGAGGAGCCAGGGTCGTTGGCTGCAGGGGAGGAGAGCCTGCAGCCTGGTGTCCAGGCGGACCACCCAGGTCATGCGGGCAGGACAATGGGGCATTTTTCATGGCTGCTATGGACACACATCTCTCCCTGCAACACAGTTTAAATCACCTTGATGGAAACGCCTCAAACTTAGAATCTGGGCTAAGATGCTTTGTTTTTCTTGCTAATCACTTCTCTTGTTTTTGGCTAGTGGTTAGAAAAGTTTCAACAATTACAGCTAAAAAGCTTGTTAGAAGCTCCTGGAAGACAGGTAAGTGCTCTACAGAAATGGAGTAATATAAATGAGAAATACTCTCCCAGCGAGTAGGGTGCTGGGCTATCTGACTACTTTCTCAACACTTTCCGGAAGAGATAGTCATGAAAAGTGTTTCGTGCTTTGTTGGAAATAGCTTTTGTAAGGTGGGGACTGCAAGCCTACGGGAGGGTCATAATGAATAGCACTGGGAGCCAGGGCTTCGGGCTCTGCCTTGACATTCCCTGGAAGGGCTGGGGAGCTCAGTGGATGTCCATCCTGCCCTAGGGACCTGTCGGGAGCAGCTTGTGACCTGCTGGGAGTTCAGTACTTGAGGGAACTCCATAGAAGCCTGTCTCGCTGAGCAGACTGATAGAAGTTGGTCCTGTCCCATCTTTTTGGCTCGTAAAAATGGTTCATTTGAACTAATATGCATCCATTTGGTGATACTTGAAATGCATTTGTTTTTCCCCAGGGTTCTTATGAAACTGCCTGCACATTTAAGCCAGTTATGCTTAAGGCCAAGCAAACAAAATTGCCAAACAACAGTTTCCAGGTTTCACTTAGGAAGAAATTTTCCTTTGGTCGTTTTAACAATGTATTCAGTTACTAGAAACCCGAGTGCACAGTTAGAGGCTCCATGTGCTATCTGTTAACACTGCCCTTCACCTTTTGGGCTTGTGCCCCAGGGCTGGCCACACAGACTCTTTTTCTTGGGCCAGACTGGGGTTTCTTAAATGTGACTCAGACTGGAGATTAGGTCCAGGCAGAGGAGGTAATTGTTTCTAGTCTGGTTTCTCTTTGGGAGGAGGAAGTTAACCTCCTAACTTTGCTCCAGTGTTACCTTTTATGTCTTTTCCCTCAGCTGCTTCTTCACATTCTTTAAGTTTTGGTCACTGGACCTTCTCAGTCTGCTTTACACCTCCCAGTTTCCTTCCCGTCACTGCTTTGGTGCCGACGATGCCAGAATCCTAGCACCTACCTCCTTCTGGAGGACCAGATCTAGATGTTCACTTATGTGCTAGTAACTGTCACTTACCACTTCAAATGTGACATTTCTAAAAAAAGATTCACTTGTTCTGCTGCTCCCACTGAAAAACAACCTGGCTCATGGTGAGCCATCCTTTTCATTCAAGCTTAAAAGTCACATCGCCTCTACAATTAGTTGTTAAGCCCTCAAGTTCTCCCTCCACAAACTCTGTAGTCACCCCTTTCCATTCTCACTGCCAAGCTCTCTTTCAGGCCCCATCATCAGGATGTCTGCAACAGCTTTCCCGCTAACTGGTCTCCTGGCTTCCTGTACCTCAGTGTTCTTTATGGCAGCTTAATTGAGTCTATTTATTCCACAACTCTGCTCATGTCCTTTCCTGCTAAAATGCTTCCTAGGGCTTCCTTCTTTATCCTCATTCTGGAATGAAGGCTGTTGTCCCATCTTGGAACCTTTGTAGAGAATGCATGGCATGCTTCAGGGACAATGATAATAATCCTTTTCAACCTCTGGGCCTTTCCTGATAATCAGTTCCCTGGAAAGCCCCTCCCATTCTCATCTCTATCTTTAGTATCACCAACCTTCAAGGGCTTATCTCAGTTGCCACCTCTCACCTCCCCACCTTGCTCAGACCTCATTGCATTCAGAGGCTCATACGTGGCATATGCACATAAAGATACTGGTGTTTGAACTTGTGAGTCAACCGCAAACCACTCAAGTCCCTTAGTAGATGGCTGGTGTATTCACTGAACTGACTGTGGGTGAGTACTGACTACATGCTTGCTCCCTGACCTGCAGTGCCAGCCCTTCTGGCCCATCACAGCCTTGCTTTCCCTACTCTTTTAAATTAGACACAGGCAATACATTTGGCATGGAAAGAACTACCCTCCTCTCCCAACCCCCACTGATTTTAAATTTTGTTAGAGGCAAAAGCAAATTTCCAAGATTCAGGTCAACATCAATTTTGATTATTTCTGCCAGTTAGAAAAGAAAACTTTGAGAAAGACATTTGACTTAATTTTTTGTAAACTTGGGAAAATTTGAAAGCTATAGTCTTTCAAGGAAACAGGATACTTAAAAAAAAAGAAAAAAGAAAAAAAAACAACAAAAAACCCCAGCCTGGCTTTATGTAGTTCAATCCTGTCAAGCTAATCTAATCTTTTGTGACAGAGCAACAGACCTGGTAGATCAAGGGGGAAAACAAGAGCTGGAATTTATCTTTGCTGGCTTCCAAACTTTTGATTCCTGGGTCCCACTCAATATGATTATCATTAAAGTGGTTAAAAGGTGAGAGAGAGAGAGAGAGAGAGAGAGGCAGCAGCCAGTCCTAGCTGGGGGATAGCAGTGGTGCTCCTGAGGGGGTCAGACTTGAGCCCAGTGGCCCTGAACATTTGCCTGAACGGGTCAGATGACAGAAAAGAGAACATATTCAAAGCCACCATTAATGTCAAGGTGGGGGATGTAGATGAATAATGAGCAAGAACAGTAACTTTGGCAATTACTTAAGTGATCAACACAAGTATGTAGGCTTGACTAGAAGAGAGTTCATGTTTAGGGAAAATAACAATCATTGGTGTAGTATTATCCTAAGACTGTGATACTGGGATGAATCCTGTGGCCCTAAACTTTCATTAACTCTATCTCCTCCCAAACTCCACAGCTAAAGATAGGACAGAAAATTTGGACAGCATTCAGGGGAGAGCCACAGATGTAATTAAACTTGGCTGGGGATATGGGAATTGAAGACTTCTACAAAAAAGTTGAATTTGGTTATTGAATTTAGAGATGGGCAGTCTTAAAAGGGCAGTTACAAACAAAAGTAGAAATGGGTTTAAATTAAAGCACATGAAAGTAAAATTATATGTAAAGAAGCCTTTTCTTAGTCCTAACAGTGATAGATGGGTCTCTGAAGTAGAACAGATTTCTCTAGGACGGTTTGAGTGTGCTCTGGGCTCACGAGGAGGCAGGGCTGGATAAACTGAAAATATCTATCCACCTCACACTGCTATGAAGTACTCCTTCAAAGTCCTTTAAATCTCAAATCAAAAATTACGAGGCAGCTAGTGCCTTGGCTGTTCTAATGGCATCAAGCTTGGTTATCAGTTCTTTTTAGAGAAATTCAAACATAGAATGAAGATCCTTAAGTGTCTGGAACATTAGCAATGTGGCTACAGTGGAGACTGATCTGTGCTGCAGCCAAATACATACAGGTAATGGGATTCTTTCTCTATTCCCATCTTGGGTATAAACAAGCCCCTGACAAAGGATCTAATCTAAGTAGATGGGAACATTCAACATTTGAGTATATGACGCCCTAAGCTGTTGCTGTCTGTTCCTGAACACTATCCCATGCAAACATTTTTCTTTAACTAAGATGTGATATGGCATGGAAAAAAAGAACTACACACAACTTCCTCTACATTCCTGATAACTAATAATCACACAGTCAGTTATATGTAAGTTAATTTTTTAAATTTAATCAGTCCTTTATAAAACTTCCCAATTAATTAGTAAAAGATGGCTTATTTTAACAGCCTTAAACATTGGTTGCTATTTAAACAAGACATTCTAAAAAAAAGCAATCACATAATCGTTTATAGTAATTTACAAGTGGATGGTATACATTTAGATACAGAGGTAGAAGTTCACTTTTACAACATTTCACTAATACACATTTACCAAATTCAAGGCACAAATAGTTTGCTTTACAAAAAAATACTGTAAAAATGTCATTTGCCATTCTACAATGTGAATAAAACTTTCAAAAGAATCTTTATACCCTTGCACACATAAGCCATGGCATCAGATTCATCCCCCCTCACTACTCAGTTGGCACAAAAATGGAACTCTTTTTAATGCATAAGTTCCCATTTTTAGAAACTGTTTCTTTGCTAAGCTGCTATGTATTCTAGATAAAAGTCCATCCAAAGAAATGGAGCATAACAACTTCCTGAGGCAAGGGCACTTTCTGTGTGCAGCAAAATTCACAGGTAGAAAATGTGTGACTTTTTTGGATAACTAGGTTTCCAGAGTAATAGCTATTTAAGGAAAGATTTCAGAGATAAAATAAAAAATTCAGCTAATAATTTAGTTGTTACAACTTTAAGGAAACCTGATCATCTTTTCTGTAACAATCAAACATCATTGCTTCAAATTGATGGAGATTTCAAAATTCCTTTTTAAAAGAGCTGTACATACAAACACCATGAAAAGCCATACAGGCTTTGCAAAACTGAAACTTACAAAACGTGATAAAATATAGCACTATCAGTCCTTGAAGTTGCAAGGGTGTCAGTTGGCTAGAGTTTAATTACAATTATTAATAAACTCTATGGGAATTAAGAAAATCACACAGGTAAAACACACTGTAGTTATCATCTCTAGACTTTCTGCTCATTAAAAAAAATAACGGTAGCCTGGAGAGGTCACACAGTGCTTGTCTAAAAGATTTGACTGGTTTTAGGGTTCTGCCTAAATGGTCCCCATAGGCAACAACCTAAGCTCACTTTTGCTGGTCACATTTTCCAAGTATTCTAGTTGGTTAATCTACATTTTATTTTATTTTTTTAAGTTGATTAAAAAAAAAAAGTCAACATGGATTTAGAATCCAGAAAATGTCAGTAATGCTGATGTGGGTCGGACTGAAACATCTTGATCGTCTTCTGGTAGATATGATACTCCATACAAAGAAGATTCTTAGATTCCATTTTTTGCTTCATTATTGTTTGTGGCTTGTTTTCTTTGAGCAATAAAGGGGTACATACACTTGTCCGCTCCTAGGAATCGATACATGCACACAACTGCTTCAAAAGGGAGGATGCTGAAAAGGAAAGCCAGTTGTTAGCAAATGTGAGACATCTTGTGTTAATTAAGTCATAGGGGCAGGCCTGGAAAGACCCAACCTGTGAGGGAACCCCTCACAATTACCTCTTCATGAAGGTCACAATGTACATGAGGCGGGGGGTACAGATCATGGGCTGGTCAGTGAGGATGGCCTTCATGGCCTGCTTCACACAGTAATCAGGCTTCAGAGGGGGCAGAAAAGGCTCGATTTCTTTTCTGAAAGTCATATATTAAAAATAATGAAATTAAGAATTTAACACAAAATAGGGAAGACTAGAAACGCACATCAAAACATTAATAGTGACGCTATCTGAGTAACAGGATTTGGGGTCCATTTTGTTTCCTTCATCGTGTTTTGTATTTTCCAAATTTTCCAACTATGAATACATTTTATTTGCATAGTCTAGGGAACAAGTTTTTAAAAAGGAAGAATCAGTCTGCTTTTCTGTAAAGTAAGAAGTCATATTTTTAAGGTGCCTTAATAATGTATTTAAAATTATTTTTCTACTTTTTTTCTTTCAAAAGAAAAAAGAGAGGGTGTTTGGCAAAACAAACACAAAACCCAAGCAAGATGCCAAACTTTTACTATTAAGCGTAGTTAAAATGACAGTGTATGGACATTGGCATAACTTTTTTGAGTGAAATAAAAGTCAGCTATATACTTCCTGGATGCCTAAATAGGGAAAGCCAAAATATTTTCTCTAAGGGTCTCTGAAATGAAGTGCCTATAGACATCCTACCTTCAGCTGAATTCATTAAGTTGCATGTTGAAATAACCTAATAATATAATTTATTCTTGTCACTTTTCATTGTCCCGCCACAGCTTTGGACACCTGCCATGATGCTAAATAGGACACAGGACTCCTCAGACCCTCAGCAATTGGTTCCTAAGTACGTAAGAGGAAAAAAACCGGACACACACACTCGGGAAAAGAGGCAGAGCTTGTCTGTTCCCAGTCCAGACCTGGAGTCAGCCTGAGCCTGGAATGACTCAAATCACCCTCCAACTACCTCAGCACTTGGTCAGGCTCAGGATGGGCAAAGGACAGCCTGACCAACGGGGACCTGGTTCAGGTGTCTTCCTTTGCCCTTCAAATTCATCTGAGCAAAGACCTCAAAGCAAGCATATCCTCACAAGTAATCCTCTTAATGGTTCATGGTTTTATTTATTCCACTTAGCCCAAGTCAGATGTGACTTGACATTTATATTTCCTTATGCCTCCTTTTGAAGTGTGTGGGTATTTTATTTCATTTTTACTACACCTAAATGGTTCTTCTCATTCTGTCACAGTGAATCTAGCTACATACACTCTACAGAAAGGGAGTTCCCAAATCTGGAGTGTAATATTCAGAAGTCTTTTTTAGAAGGAAGGCTGTTACTCTTCTGTGAGAGTGACATTGTTTCATATCCAGATCAAAGTCACATTTACCTACCAACTTAAATATTAGAGAAACAAAATAACTCCTGAATAAGTAGCTTCTAAGGAAAATCTTGGATATTCAGGTTTCCTCCTTTAAGGTGTAGAGAAGCCATTTCCTCTCTGATGCTTCTAGACTGACTTCTGCCAGTTAATATTAATTAGTGTGGCACCAGACCCTTGCTTGTTAATCTTATTCATCTCAATTTTACAAAACTTGACCGATGAAACTACAAGTTGACTGTCAAATGAGAGGTGAAGTATAAGGATGGCAATGTTTGAAGATCCAATTCCACGTATTGTCCCCAAATGGAAAGATGATTTTTTAAAAACAGCTTTGTATCAGTAATATGATAGGTTCTCACCTGATTCGGCAGCCTCTGAACATGCCAGTGTCCACAAGGTAAGGGCAGACCAATGTTGTTTTAATTCCATCCTTTTCAGCAGCCTTTAACTCATGACTCAGGGATTCATGAAAGCCCACCACTCCAAATTTACTGGCACAGTAATCCTGGGTTAGAAGGGAGAGAGAACAGAAAATACTAAGTATGCGCACAGATCCCTGACCAAAGAAAGCTTCCCAGATCTTATTGCTCTTGTTACATGTTTAATACAAAAGGTTACAGGTGAGTAAGTGAAGAAAAGAAAAGCATTTTAGAAGGCAGATATATCTGATGTGGTTCAGTGCAGAAATAATGTTTTCAAAGCAACAGCAGAAACAGATGAACACTTTTTGCCACATCAACAAAGTATCAAATTACTTTGGAGAAGTTACCACAAAGGATTCTATGAAAGCTAACAAGCTGAAGTTAAAAATGGACAGAGGTTCACTTTAAAGTGTCTGGAAAATTTACAAATGGTTTTTTGTTCAGTAAAAGAGACTGAAAAATCAGTTTTTTAAATTAATGCTCAGAGAACAAACGCAAGTCTAGCTTAGGTTGAAAGTTATTATGATCCGATTTTCTTTCTAGGTACATGATAACTATACCTTGTAAACTTAAACTAGAACTTAATCCAAGGACACATGGTACAGAAAGAAAGTTCTTCTCCATTACCCAACTTTATATTAGGAATGGAAATGTAGAATGTAAAGTCACCTATTCTGTGTCCTTCTGTGTATCTGCATGGGGTGATGTTTTCAATTTTACACTACAAGCACCCCTAAGACAGAGAGTACAAAAAATATACATACACAAGCTTTATAATTTGAATATGGTGAAGAACTGGGTTTGATTAAGTCCAGTTCTACAAATTTACAGTGCAAGACACTTCCCATCTGCCATGACCATCTCATCTGATGACCAACAAAGATAGCTCACTTTAGCAAGCTGACCAAAACAGAATGTCAACCTTTGGCCTCATTTATCTGTTCCCCGTGGCACTGCCACTGCTCTCCGTGGTTTCATTCTTAACCCTGTGCCTTCCTACTATCATGGAGCACAACTGCTAATGAAAATGGGGCGACCTGGGGACTGGCCCACTTCCTCCTCCTGTCGCTCCTGCTTTGTTAGCCTAGTGTGAGAGGAAGGCAGGAGACAGAGCTGCCTCTCAGCAGCTGGGCCTGGGTCACCGCAGAGCGCGCCACACAGCCCCCAGGACGCATTCTCCCAGGCTTCCCGAACCTTTGGGCAGCGGGTTCCCTGAAGACTTTGGTGTATTTGTCACAAGATAAACTGACTCAACAAAGGAAACATCTTGTATCTGACAAACCTCAACTCCAGCAGTACTGAACAAGCCCAAGGAACTTGCAACTGTCACAATATGGCCGTGATTGATCTCCAGCATTGTAGGAAGAAAAGCCTTAGTGGTCTGAAAGAAAAGTAAGATTCAGGTTTTAGAACTGACATTGTGAGTTTCACCTAAAACCCAACCCAAGATCACAAAACAAAGTTTTTCCCTCATAGTGTGACATTTCCTAATTCATTTAAAAATATTTTACATTTATCAAAAAGGGAAGATCCCTTAAGTGTCTGGCAAACTAGCACTATATCATTGGCAGGGCAGGCCTGGTGTAAGCTGTGACCGACAGGACTGTAACACAGGAACTTGATGTTCCAGAGATGAAAAGGATGCCATGAGAAGGCTCTTTATCACCTTTCGAGTGACAGTTACCTGTTAATCTAAACTACCCTAGGTCAGAGGTTGTTTATCCTGACACTTTAGTGCTGCAACTTCAGGGACGGAGGCAACTTCAGGGACCCAAAAAATGGATGCCTCGTACTTACATTTACCTTATGGCTATGTCTGAACAGTAATAGACCAATGAATGAAGAGACAGTCCAGTATCATCTTCCAGCATCCAAATCTTTATTACCAAAATGTACAAACATAAGCATTACAGAATGTAAAAAAAAAAGGGTAGGTGTACCAAATCATTTTAATGAAAAATGTGCCATAATCTTAACTCTGCAATGACAGGAATTTAGCCTTCTGAACATCACTCTCCGAGGCGGGGCTCAGTAGGGAGTGTCCTTCCCATGGAGGCAGGTGACTGGCTGCTCAGTGCTACAGAGCCTGAGACAGAAGTTCCAGGGCACAGACCCAGAGGTGGCGTGGATTTCTTATTCACTAAACTCTCTTTTCTGCTCTTGCCTTCAAGAAGACACAAGGCTGTACTTAAAAAAAAAAAAATGGTTTCAAATTGCTTAAGATAATCTATTAACTACTAGGCTCCCCATAGTTTTATGACCTGCTTCTTAGAAGAAAGCAGTGAAGAGCAATCTGTCTACTCTTGAGTTACATCCCACTGCCAACAGTTTCCCATGATTTATGACATCAAAAACCCCAAATACTACCCCTTCAGTTTAGAGAAGAGTTGCATTCCCTTCTCAGAACATTCCTGGCTAATGGACCACAGCATTTTTGCATAAATATCTAATTTGTTATAATTTTTGCATGTACAAGATCAAAAGTGGGCACTCCATTGTGTAGGTGTTTTTCAATTTCAATCCATGCTGCACACAGTTCCAAGATGAATCTTTGAAAAATGTCCCAAAGTCTCCCCCAGTCTGACTCCTAATTGTCACACAACCCCCACCCCCAACTCATACCCTACTCGTCTGGGTCTCCTCATTGTTGTGATCCATGTCACACTTCTCACCTGTAAGCTTTTACCTGTGAACTAACTCTTCTCTGCCAATCTACCCCCATCCCATGCTGCCTATATAATACAAAGTATAACATTCACCCCATATTTACGTAGCTCCTTAAGCTTTTCAAAGTGCTGTGTCACTGGAGCCTCCCAATAATTCTGCTGAAGGTGTTAAGCCTTTACCTAATATAATCCTATATATTATTTCTTTAAGACATACAGTAGGTACCACCACCATAACATATAATTTTATGTTTACGGTGTTTTGATTTTGTTTTATATTTATTTGCCTGGATGCCCAGATTAAGCTGAAAGGTACAGATTATTCTCTCAAATACTAAAGGAGAGAGACTTTAGGCACTACGGTGAAAGAATGTGAACAATACTTCTCATGCACTCGGGAGACCTGGCATGCTGCTGGATGCAAGACAGACACTGTTCAGTTTGATCTGATTTCTCTGTGGTAGTAAGTGAGAATGGTTAGGGTAACTACAATAGTAATCATTATTCTGGTCTGCTTGATAGACAAAAAAGGCACAACCTGGTACTTGAGGTCATTACAGGTTCAACTTTAGGCTCCTTACTGTATAAAAGACATTATATCACACAATTGCAATAAAGTAATATCACAAAGAAGCTGATATATTCCAACACAAAGTAGAAAACATACCCTTAAGTAATCAAGTCTAGAGGTCCTCTTTTAAGTATCTGGTTATGCTTAATTGTTCCTAGATTAGCTAAAAAGTATAAAATTTATTCTTGATGTTATCCAGAGATCATGCCTAGAGACTAAAAATTTTCCTAGTCTTGGAAGACAGGGATAGGTTTAGTGTGAATGGTCTTATTTTTAAGTTCTTAAGTGGAAGGTCTCAATTTAAACTCTAAGAAATCACACACTACACAACACCAGTCGAATTCTGTTCCTTGGTTACCTGACAAATTCGGATCACTAACTGGGCTCGTTCATGTGGCAGCGTCCGCGCTAACTCCCGCTGGTGACTGGCCCTGACTAGAAACACATGGGTGGTGAGTGAGTTGGCTCTAGTGACATCCCCATAATCGTGTGCAATATTGTTGCCTGCAGGTGTTAAATGACTAATCCAGATCCCCAGCACCATACAAACGCAGGTGACAGAAGATTAACAAGTTCCTGTTTTTTCGGGGTTTTTTTTTACTTTAATTTGTTCCAAGGTTCTGATATTGATTACTTCCACACCTCCTCCCTTGATACTAGTCTGGTGGTTTTAACTTATTTGCCCAGTATGTCCTGAGCATCTCTTACATGCAGGTACTATATTATGATCTTGCCAAACCATGACGTGTGAATGGGAACTGATTCTATTTCTGTCTCTAAGCAGAATTTATACTTCCCAGAACTTAATTGTGTTAAATTAGTACATCAAATATGAAACAATTCTAGCTTATCCTCACAAAAGCAGGGTACTATGGCTACATATTCTAAAAAATGGGATTTGGGCCTGCTTCCCTACTTGCCCCCAAGTAGTTTCGGAGGGACATTCAAGCTCCTGGTTTTGTATTTAAAGGAAAAAAGAAAAAAGAAAAACAAAAGAATCCAAATACAGCTAATGACTCAAAATCTTTTCCAATCGTGGGTTGTATACATATTTTTCAGGGAGATATGCTTCACTTTAGGCGGTAAAATATGAAACAAGTTTGTTTTAATATGAAGCTTTCTGTTGAGAGGGAGGGGTTAGTTTTGTTTTGTTTTTTAAAGGTAGTGGCAGGTCAATATTTAAGATACGTGATTTCTTTGTTAAATCAGGAACAAATCTGGCCTTCTGAATACATGAAATCCAGTGTGTCACTGCATTTTCTACATTCCAAGGCAAAGGCCTATATTCTTTATTTAGGAAGGCTCACCAATCATGGGTCTAATCCTACAGCTACTACAACTGCTAACAATGTAAGAGTAACAAACGAAGTACTGAGGAACCCAGGAGGTGAAGTAAGCTATGCCAGGCCACAGTCAGCCTTGGAACCCAGAGCAGCTGTCTTGCAAAGCTGGTGTCAAACACTCAGCTCCTACGGTGTGCTGGGCAAAGGCAAGCCTAAAAGAGCATGTACACCAGGATCACTCAGGTCTCCTTAAACTGGAGTTTTCAGGGTTCACATTGGAGCCCTATCCATGTGACTAAGCATGGAGGCTGTTAATCATTTCCTTTGCTGCTTGAATGGAGGCAAGCAATTACTGCATGTGCATTATTTCCACAAGCAAACTCCTGCCTTATATCTGGGGCACATTACCAAATAAACTTTGATCAACACTAATTCTACCCCTTACTTTACAAGAAAAATGCTATAAATGGGTGACTAGAAAGCATCACATTTTCAGGAATTTTCTCAAGTAACCTGACTAGTTTTCTTTTCTAATTACGCTTGCCCTCAACAGTCTGGTAGATGACATCTGAGATAGCACAGAATAGTCTGTCCCTGACACAGTTTGACAGCACAAAGAAACCTGGCACTTTGCAATGAATTATTAATGTGCACAAATATTGTAGCATGTATGAGATGGGGACCAGCAAAAGGTGAAGTGCTAGTTGCCATGACACCAGTCAGTTCACGCTAAGGTTTGTGATCTTTAACTCTGTCTCAAAGAGTTGTTAGATGAACACAAAGGGCAAATCTGAGTGCACAACCAAACGCCTTTACGTATAAATTCACGTGTGTGCTGCCGTCAGTGACTGAGAGGGGCCGCCCAAAGAACTTGCCCAAAGCCAGTGTTATCGCCACTGTAAGGACTGACTACTAGATCAGGTGTTACCACCTAGTAAAGGGATCTCTAAAGAGAAGTACAGATTAGTTGGTGCCAATGGGGCAGTAGACACTTAAACTTAAGTCAGAGAATTATGCTCCATCACCATGTCCCCTCTCATGCAGGGGTCTAAGAAACAGGAGAACATCTAGCTCCTCATCAGGAAAATATGGTTGACTCTTAATGAAGGAGGGACAGTGTCTCAAGGTCAATAATCAATATACACTAATTGGTATGTTCAGTGAGAGAATTTCGAGTTGGAATGGTCCTAGGGATTATTTTATCTGCAAAAGAGGAAACTCTTAATAGACTCTGGATCAAAAGTGTGTAGACAGACCTTTGATTACCCATAAGTAATTTTATCACACAACTCACAATACTATAATCTGCCACCAGTTGACAGGGTTACTATGTGACTTAAAAACCAAACCAAACCTGGGAAAAGGACATTTAAATGGATACTGACATTCCTATGAAACCTACTTAACAAGTTTAATACTGCTGTAGCTCCTCAGGGTTTCTCCTCAAAGCACTGGGCATTTTGAAAGATAACTGTAAAGGTCATATTTATAATATAAACAAGAACTTCTTAAACAGAAGTGTCACTGGACATAGACAGGACATGTCGTATCTGGAGACATCTTTGAAAGTTAGGTTCATGCCAAATTAACTTCCAGCAGTTCCAACCTTCCCGATCATTCTCGGTGCTCATAATGACAGACGGCACTACAGAGCCTGCAGCTGCACTGTCAGGGCAAATTAGCCTCAAGGTAAACAAAAGAGAATGGGAAGAAATGTGGTATCCGGCAAAGTCTGGCTTTTGAAATTTTAAGATTGATGACATCTTAAAGGTGGAGGTAAAACATCCAGAATGTGTTTTCCATATTTGTAAGCAGGAAAGCAAAGTTAATTTCCAACAGTAAGAAAAGGCCTCATACTGTA